TCACTTAAACAGCTGCTTGCTTCCATTAGCAAATTAAATTGAAAACAAGCTACAAGTAATTTTGAGAGGTTATCTTTAAATTTAACACAATTTCAGTTTTTAAAATAGTTTGTTTACTAATGGTGCAATATGACAAAAAATATAGTTCATCATACGGACAAAAAGTGTCTTTTCAACCCTCGCCCATTTTAGCTTGGGTGTGTTTTTGTGTTGGTGTTTTTCAACACAAAACTTAAGCTTGGTCGAAAAGAGTCACTTTAGGCCCTAGTGATGAAATTTACTAATTCCATGCGGTAACTTAAATGATCATCAAACAAACAGTCAATTACATTATTATTATATTGTCCTATGGGTATAAAATGCTAAACGTAGTACGGTACGTTGGTGTTTATGTTACATGATGAAAATGCATTAAATGCCGTACAGTAGTTTATTTAAAAATTCCTTTAAAATGTGCCACTATTTACTTTATATTAAGTTTTTTGCACAAAAATACTTTGGTAATTGAACTAAATCCACTATACTCAATTAGCATAATGCGATCAATATGACATATCACCATTGTCACTGCTATTAAGACAACATTGGCATCTAGGTGAGTATTATAAGCAGAATATGAATGAAAGATGTAAAATTGAGCGAGAGGTTTTTGATTGTTTTTTGATTTGAAATTGATATCTTGGTAGCTTTTTTACTGACTTTATATCAGACGCTTCTTTAGTCAGGACCATTTAAGCCCATCGAGGTATCAGGACCTTTGGAAATACTAATTAAATAATAATCTATTATTATAATTCCGTAAGGAATTTGGTGACCATGCGAAGGTATAGGTATTTTAAGCCAAGTATGAATGGAGATGAGTGGCGCGATTTTGTAGCCTGGTTACTGTCTAGGCCGACTGTTAATTAATAGCTCTTACAGCCCATAGCAATTAAGGGACCTACAGCTTATAGTGGAATCCGAACCACATTTTTGCCTTGTAATTATTTACGAATCGGTCTAATTATCAGTATAGTACTGCGGATAGTCGCAGTACTCACTAGTGCGGACGTTAATCCACACCAGGGAGTATCGCATCCACAGATTATGCATATTTATCCAAAATTCGTGACCTCCAAGTAGCTGGATTACAGGACGACGCCACGGCAAATAATCGGAAAACGTGCAGAATTGCGGGTCCTTGCCACACTATATGATTAGTTAAAATTAAATCTTTAAGACAATTGAATCGTCCAAGAAAACAAGGTTTTACCAGTCAGGGGTAGTATAACAAACCATTAACGTACTGAAGCCATAATAGTATTTGCATAAAGAGATTCATAAAAGCTTAGAAACAGCTGAGAATGAGCAGCTCGCCGTACTTCCTGATTATTTGCATAATTTACTTTTACTTTCCCATAGTATGCTGGTACCCTTCTGTTCCCACCATTTCCCCACACAGAGGCACAATTAGCAATCTGTGTGTGCAGTTAGACAGACAATGGGAACTACTTTAGTGATCGCTAGACGGGAAATGTCTTCCGGCAAGTGGGTAGTTTCTTGGCTAAACGAAATATTATATTGGCCGCTAAGAAAGTTGACTTCCGCTTGAGTATGGACTAGTTTATGGCACTACCTATGTTCAAAAAGCGCATAGTAACAGTTGCTAATATTTTGTCATATAAAATATGTGTGGCCAAGATGCATTAATCGATTCACCAAAATTAAAAACATTTAAACTATTTGCATATCGTTGGTCTTGTCATTTTGAAGCAAAATCTATCTCTCTTCGAAGCAAAATTATTGCTGCTTTTCCAACATGAGCTAACCAACCTGGTACTGTTATAAACGCTAATCGTTCACGTCAATACTTACTGTTTAACATAGCCCACAGACATTGGAGAAAAATCTGTTTCACTAAGGTCACTCTTTATGGGTAAACGGCGAGGCACCTACTACTATTGGATTTATGTCGATGACCTAAATACGTTTATATGATAGTACTGGTGATTATATACATCTTTTGACATGGACGTACAACAATCAATCCGGTGGCTTGTTTGATATCTTGTTAGTATACAGCAAATTATATCCGAATTATTTCGAAATTCAACACAAAAAACTTCATGATTCTCAAGGTTTAGTTGAATCAAATTGTACTTGCAATTTCAATATCCTAAAATTCAAAGCCAGAGCCAAACTGATCTAAAAACAAAATTTTCGACTGTACGTATAGTTAGTACAGGTTTAAATTTGGTACCGTGATTGTGGGTACTTTAATCAATACAATAGCTTTTGGTTTCCAAAGGTATGGTACCAACCAAACTAAGAAACGACCGTGGAAAAATATTCAAACCCATTTATATCTAAAATTCTAACCCATACTGAGCCCCAAGATTACGAAAAACTACGTATTTTAAGTTTCTACATTCTAAATTAGTTGTGATTTCTCACGGTGTGGTATTTAAACCACATAATTACGACTCGACGTCTTAAATGTTGACTCTTGAACTAGATTTGGGCAATCTGTGCGGATCGTGACTCCATTCACCTTGTGAGTCACAGCTGTTAGTCCGAGACGTACCTCTCAGCTGATCATGTGAGATGCAACATTTCTTGAGGCCTGACTTAATACTTTGTTGAATAAATAAAACCAGCTGAGACGAATATGATAATATATAACATTTTATTTGTGCATTTTAGACACTTTTTTTATTTTCCTACATTTTAAATTTGCATTTTCAGGGTATATAGAGGAAGCGGGTTGTTTGAAAAAGCATAATTAGTTTATAGCTCAGAGATAAAGGACACAGATTATTTACAATCAGTTAATTTTAGAACTAAATAATAATACAAATTTGATTTAGGTCTATATCAATCAATAGTCAACAATAAGTAATGAACAATCGGAGCAATTAATTACAATCAAAACAGCATATCAATGTATTTTAATTATCTCGTTGTATCCATGGAAACCAATATTGATGCTAGAAATACCATAGGCCTAAAGAAACTTTAAAGTCCTTTGTCAACGGTCAAAGCACAGACAATGGAATAAGATTGTTTTTCACATTACTTCAGGCTAGACCTAGGGGTTGCGGCATTATCACTTGGATAAAATATATTGGTGTCTTGGCGGGGATCGAACCCGGGATCTAGGTGTCTTAAAATTAAATTAAGACAGAACTCTTCTCAAGCATTATAGAACTATAATTTAAAGTTTCACGACAATGATAAGGAAATCGTTAATGGTAATACTTTTTTAAACATAGCACTTTTACATTACCGTTAACACAACGTAGCCAACACAGAACAGAAAAATATTTTTTTAGAAGTTCCCTTTAAGATGTCTCTACAGCAGACACTCAAACTAAGAGAGTTTACAGTTATTTACCTAGAACAATTTGTAGCCTAGGACATGCAAACGTTCATTTATTTTTCATGTCGATTGCACTACTGTACTTTAACAGTGATATAAGGTTTAATAATTAAAACATTTCACGTGCACTCTTTATACAAAAGAGGAAATTGTCAAATCCAATCAAAATCTACTTATGTATAGCTATACCTAACACAAGACTTCAATGTTCAAATAACAAATAACTGACCGTATCATTTACACAATATTTAGATATCTTAGACAGTGTTCTGAATTGAGCACTAGGATTATACCAAAAGTATCCCAAATAGTGTAATACAAGCTACTTAATCGTTTGTCTTCTTAACTGGTTTAAAAACACGAAATATTGATATTTACGTCGCTTGACTACACGACTCCTCAAATCTTTGCATGCACAATGCACTCTGGGAATGCCTATTACCGTATGTTTAAACACATTACATTATATAGATTAGAATAACCAAGTCGACATACAAAGTTAAGGCGTAGTTTACGGTAGTAAATGTGATGACAGCTTTATTTCAGCTCAGCTCAGCTAGGGAAACGTAAGATTGATGTTTTACGAATCAAACGATCATTGAATAAATAAAAAAAATGAATAAATAACTAGCAGCCTCAAATTTAAGTAATAACAAGGATACACTAAAAAAATAAATGAATTTATAAAAGGAACACATTTTAGAAGTTAGTAGGCTAATAATTAAAAAATATATAAATTAGATCTCGTTTCTCTTAACCAAAAAATTTGACGATAATAATTTTTAATTTTGAAATGTCGAAAGTTTTCAGTAAAAACAATAAACCCATAAATACTGTTAATAGTGTAATGCATTAATAATACTAACATATATTTTACACACACCCATTGACCACATCGTTAACATATTGTTTTGTGAATTTAAAACCCTACAACAAATAAGATACAACAGTTCGAGATCATGGGTATACACGTACTTACTAGGCTCAATAGTCTATTAGATTTAGGCCTACCACAAGTACAGTTATAGGCAATTTCTATTACGGCTCCTGTAAGACATTATTCTATATTGGGAGTTCAAAATAAGGGGAAATAATTAAAACACTCTCCAATAAATAAAACAATAAACCAACATTGTGGATATTGGAATAAATAAGTTTCAAATTCACAAAATCTGCAATAGGTCTACATGACACACGTTATTTATGTTTATTCCAGAATTTGGACCCTTTAAAGTTGTTATTATTGTTAACTATTTATTTGACTCTGAAAGAAAATTTAAGTATAAAAATGACGAAACCTAAAGATTAGCACTAAGTTCATGACATGTTTCAAAAATTTATCTATGATAACTAGTAAGTATTTTACTTTGAGTTTATAAATTCTGCTGTCATATAAAAGGAACAGAGTATGCCTAGTGTCTGTGGCAAGAATGTGTTTGTCTAGTATAACATTTTCAACTTTTACAAAGCATAACTTTGAAAAAATAAAACAAAGGACATTACAAACTTTTGTTTTGAAGTTACATAGCCTATTACTCTAGAAACAGAAAATAATATATCTTAATAGACATGTAAAGTTGGTTTCAACTTTGACAATTTGGACACCCAAAACGATGGAAACATAACACTAGGCAAAACTTACCGCTGCATTCCGGAAGGTGTACGGTTAAACACCGGAAGCACGCCACAACAATACTAGAGATCAGCTGACGGGACGCGCGGCTGGCGGATCACAGAACGTCACTTTCATCTGAGTTACGTCATCAGAAAGTGTTCCGTGAGCAGCAAAGGTCACCCCCACCACCCCCTCCTCCAACCTGGAGGATCATCCTTGGTAGAGGACTGCACCAACGGGGGGAAAAGAGGGGGGCTGTTTGGGGATATTTTCTACCTCTGGGGAAACATTTCTGGAATAGGGTTGCCATTTTTTTTACTGAGTGAAACTGGGCCACTTATCGAGTTGCCCCCAACTAAACTAGATTTAGTCTCTTCTTCGGAGGAAGAACTATTAGATAATAAAACATTGGATTCATACAAAAGCGCTTACACGAGGCCTGTAGGCAGGCAGGTCACCTGCCACAGTAAATGTATTTAAAGTGACCTGAGGTCCTGGCTAAGAGTCTGCTGATCTAGTCAGTAACACATCTGCACCTCAATCATTCAACCGTCACTCATCATTTCACTCATTTTAGCCTAAAAAAATATATTTTATGATTGAAAAGCTAAGGATTTTAAAGAATTATAGGCATGTAACTGGTGTTTTAAAATATTTTGACCACAAAAAACTCTTTTTGGTCTTCGTAATAAATTTTGTATTGAGAAATATTCTTTCACCACACTATGATGTTTCTGGCTGTATTACATACGTTAATTTGTGGCTGAAAGTTACGTTTTGCTGGCCACGCCAGCTGTCATCGTAATTTGGGGACCGAGCAGGTTTTTACATCCCGGGGCCGCAAAATCGGATGTCCGCTTACTTAAAACATAATGCATTTTAAATACACAATCAAAATCCATAGCATTGCAATAGAATTGTGTTTGTCACCGTTGCCTAGCAACTATTTATTTTTATTTTTTCTTATTTTTTCTTCACACAACCTTAAAGTTGTAGTTTTGTTGACTATCAGTGTGCATTATTATAGTGGTGAATAGTGGTAATAGGGTATAGGGTGTTGAAAAATAGCGTTCGTACCACGGACCGAAATGGTTTTGCATCTCTCGAACGATTTAAGTTCTCGACCTCGTCTCGAACTTAAAAACTATCTCAAGCCGGCAAAACCTCATTTTCGGCCCTAGGTACGAAATATACTATTTCTTATGAATAAGTTTTATTTCAATTTTTCATATAGTATGCTATCAGTACTACTGACATTAATAGTAACCATGATTTCCAAATTTTTCCAATTCCTTTGTATTTCACATTTGTTGTTCATTGAAATGCAGAGGAATTGCGCAAATTATGCCACGTTGTTAACAGTCAGTAATTATCATATCGTAATAATGTGGTTTCAAGACTAGTACAACGACAGCGTGTGGCCTGGGACCAAACCTTTAGTTCAAAGGTATACATTTTCATTTAAAGTCAAAAGTACATTTTGTTGGATATGTGCCTTGAACAGACCCCAAAGCATTTTTACATGTTACATATGTGCCAGATCGTTTTCCATTCCCCAAAAAACTCAAGACACTTGAAATTCCATCGACGTGTTTCGACTAATCTCATCCTTGACCTATCATCCTGCACAAAATTATCTGCCGGCCAAGGCCATGCTCTCCATCCTCTCCATTCTCCTAACATAAGTAAATGAACATGAGATGAGAGCTAATAACCAACTTAAAACTTTGTTTATTTGATGTTTTTTCTTTAATATTTTAAAGTTACATAAATTTAAAATATGTAATTTAATTTGCTACGGTTAGAGGCTTTTGGTTTCAATCGATACTGAAGTTGTAGCCTATATACTGTATACTATAATAACCGAAACCATGTTTGAATTATTACTTAGAATCTAATTAATAATTATTTATCAGAACTTAAATTTTTCTTAACAGATTTATGGCAATATAAATCTTTTAGAAAAAAATTAATTTGTAAAATGGCCATTTAGTTTTGTAGGGAAGGATATAAATTTTGTATAATTAATCTAAAATCTGTCTGTTAGTAGCCACTCAGCTTAGGTAAATCTTTATTCAACACGCAAAACGGAGGGCTTCAGTTGAAGTAGTTCTACTCATTGTGTTTATAATTAATTTTTAAAATGCCTAAGCCATACTTTAGATGTCAACAAAAAGCAATTTCTAAAAACAGAGCTACGATTTTGGGGGGTATTCGACACATACCGAAGTTCAGTGTAGTAATTTGTTTTAATATATCGATGTCATATTGTAGAATAAATTTAGTTGCTAGAATAAGCTGTGAACTGTATTTCTATTTCAGTATTATACTCATTTTCGTACGGTAGAAAATTTATTTCAATTTAATTTTCATATTTAAAAAAGATATTTACTATTTTGCTGAGGATAACAGTATGTTGTGAAACGAAATTCTAGCGGAAAACTATATTTATCGGAAACGTGCGTCTTAAAGTCTGTCTTTTCACGTGAATTACTTCGCGACGACTTGCGTGAGCGTATCCCGTGTCCTGTGGCTCGTGTTCACCGCGATCTCCCGCCAAAGTGCACGTGAACTTCCCGCGTTTACTGGAGTCAGGTGACAACAGAGATTACGTGATCGATCGCGCCCCTCCTTCATTCCACTTACAATAATAACCACGTGACTCTTGGCGAAGTTTCTTAAAATTCTCTCATTAAGTCAGTAGCTGTGTAAAACGATTAATTAATTAGGAAATGGATTTGTAACTTCTATGATCGTGTTTATAGCTTTATTATTTGGATCATGATACAAAATATCTATCTAACATTACTATGGTGTTTATATATTATAATTTTGCATACTTTGTTACTATCGAGTTTCCCACTAGTAAGTTATCATTTTATTTGGACAGTACATGTTTTTACTTTGCTAATTGAATGGCATAACATGTTCTGTAACTATGCACTATGTGTTGGGGGTAAATACACACATGTATCTAATACATGTAACAATCTGAACGGAAGTTGGTTTAGAATTCTGGAGGGAGACCCAAAAAACTAAGCCAAAATATGCAGTAAAGTTGGATGTACGTTGAAGTCCAACGCTACTCCAACCCGCTACGTAATGTACTAGGTTGTATGTACAGTATTTGCCTGTAGGAAAATTCGCTAAAAGATAAGTCTTTACTCGGAAATTTTTTTCGGTTAGCATATTTTTGAGAAATATAAAAATAATTGTTAGCTCAACGAAGCGAGCGAAGCTCTTTGGGATTGGACCTTATGCTATGTAATCAATTAACTCAATAATGGATGAACGTATTAAAGTCAAACTTACCGGGGTCATTTCGACAAACAGTGAACATGTTATTGAAATAAAATTCAATTTGACAATGTCTAAACTAAAATCTTATACTTATTTAATACGCAAGCAGGTTTTTTGTGACAATTAATCCTCCGAAACTACTGAACCGATTGACATGTTTTTGGTGTCATTGGAAAGAGCGTAACGTGAAGTTGTGCAGGAAACTTTCTTTTTAGGGAAATAATTAGAGAGTGAGGCCCTGGGGCCCTTTAAAGTTTCGTATTTCTCCATAAGATTAACATGGGAAACAAAAATTGTTATGAAACTCCAGCTGCTGTCAGAAATTAAAAGTGAGAAGAAGAACATATGTTAACAGTAAACAGACAATAAGTTTGTTAATTGAACAGTTTGCTACAGACATTTACTCACATTTACAGACTTAAATATTCACCCTTTAAATTTGGGTTGGCGTAAATATTACAATGGAAAAAACCAGAGAGGCTGGATAGATTGATATACTAAAAAGAAAACTGAGTTAACACTGTGCTGCATTTCTTAGTAATCATTGAAAGAGCCGATTTGCAAACCATGGAAACATAGGCAAGTCATAGAACACCACCTAGGAGAAGAAATAGAAATAATGTTTTTTTAATGGCATTTATAATCCTTATTATGAACAACCTAATGCGGCTATGAGTAAGGCTATTTGTAGAAAACACTAAATAAACAAGATCAGCTTCTGAAAAATTATAAGATATTTACATGAAATGATGATTATATCGATCTGTTATGTACATATTGAGTATTTCCATAATCCTTGAGTCGAATCTTTTAAAGTTATCAGAAATTATGGTAGTTATTCCTTTTAAAATAACGCCTGTTATAATTAGCAATTGCTCGAATTCGAGCAACAGGGACACTAGTAACATTTTAAAACGTTTTTGCTCGCTTTCTTGTCCGGTACTAATTTTGGAATCAATTTTATACTATCTTTCCGATGAGCTAGAGACTTGAAACTTGAAACATAGCTCACAAATAGAAGACAATGCAATATTATATCATTAAATTTTCACATTTCCCTTGGGCTACGCCCCATAGGCTTGTTTTTATTGGCTCACTTTCCTACAAATTTTGATATCAAATTTCAAACGAAGTTCCCGATGAGCTAGAGACTTGAAATTTGAAACATAGCTCATAAATGGATGACAATGCAATATTATATCATTTAATTTTCGTATTTCCTTTGGGCTACGCCCCATGGACTTCCATATTTTCCATGTTTACATTTTGAAAGAATGTAAATATATCAATTAATTTAAGTCAGCTGTTAATACTTAAATATGACAGTTCAAAGAGCAGAGGTTAAGAGGTACAGGTTATGCTCCCAAGAGATTCTTTATACAAACAAACATTTCAAAATAAAGATAAACAATCTGATTGCAGATATGTGTTTGTTAATAATGTCAATTTTTATTTATTTAGTACTAGCAGAGTACCCGTCCTTCGTACGGGGTTGGCATATAAGTATAAATGCTTATTGTAGTTATGGGAGAGAACACGGTTTAAGAAAATTTGGTCTTTTAATTTATACGGTATCCTATAATGTCCTACAGTATCTACCATAGCCCTAATTTTCTACCACTGCACCTAAACCATGAAAAAATTTTAAGTTCTCATTGTGTTCCACAACTTTTTGTTGCTAGTTGGTTAAAATTAGCTGTGATCATAAATGCAAAAAACATAAAAGTGCTGCACTCTTTTGGTAAGCCTTATACCTTTTTAATGCTATTTAATATCATAGAACCAACTTGTGAAGTTGAAACGGCTGACAAAATTCTTTAATTTCTTTAAATATGAATACT